GGGGGGGAGGGGAGGGGGGGGGGCCTCTGCCCTCTGTACCCTTTTGAAAAACAATAAAAATAATAATAGCCCAAATTGCTGTCAAAGATAACCATTTTTAGCTTTTCACCCTGTACTTTCTGAAGGAGGGGTGGGGGGATCTGGAAAAATGTTACTCTTGGTTGACATGTGAAAATGATGATATAATAGATGATCCCTTTGAAGCCTTGGATATGCATGTTTTGATGTGTGACAGTGTGTTTGTATGTGTTTGTGTATGTGTGAGTTTCTAGGTGTGTGTCTGTTTGTGTATGCATAGGACTGTGTGTACAGATGTGTGACTGGGTATGTATTTGTATGTGTGTACATACATAATGCATGCTATCTTTGCATTGTTAGCATGTGTTTGCATGACTACTAGTACATGCCTGCTGTTTATCCTTGAAGTATACTATTACAATAAAATTGTCCTCGTTTCTTCCACCCCCCCCTCTCCCTACCTCACCCCCTTTACATGATCAGCCAGTGTTACATGCATGTGTGTACATATATGTATACAGTGACCATGTCCTTGCATTGCTGTTTGCTAATTACTTGAATAAGTGTTATAGCCAGGACACCTTAGACTAGTTCCAAAGATTCCTGCCCTCTGCCCCCCCCCTCCTCCCCCCTTGCTGTCACATCCTTTCTTTTGCTTTAGTGCTCTGATATGGTTTCATTTTGGACTGAAGCTGGACAGAATTTTTGATGACAAACGTTCATGTTTATAAGGTCTTACAAGAACAACTTATTGTTTCAACATCCATTATGTAACTGGCACATGCAGCCTGTTTCACAAACAGACTGTGGTCTACTTCAGTTTCAGTTCAGTTTTGGTCTGAGTTTGACAACTGGTGAACACTTGTCAACTGTTAACTGTACACAATACTTAGTGGATCGCTGTGTTCAGATTACAAACTCCATCTGTCTCTTCTCTATATAATTAACTCTTGCTTGCTCTTAACCCATGATTGATTATGTGTAAAGTACTTTGAATGTGTATTTGAATGGCTTTATTCACTGATCCGTATAATCTTAGCTAGCACTTCTGATTTAATCAAACCTGTAAACTACATCCACTGTGAGTAAACATGTAAATCTTCATAAACCTTCAAAGGTGAATGACCACTGTAAAAAACAAACAATGGACCAGGTAATATATATGCGCTCCTTATCTTGAGGTAAATATTTAGAATTGTGTGACATTTGGAGCAGAGCTCAGCTAGGGTATAAAAGGGGGGTGGGGTGGGGGGGAGGGGGTGTTGGAGGGTGCTGGAAAAGTTCCATAAATTTTTCTGAGATTGCATTGCATTTTGTTTCATGACTTAAAGCAACATTGTATTGGGTATGACACAGCAGCATTGTGACAGTTGTGGAGAGGAACCATGACCATTGTGTTAGATGTGCTTAAATACATTTCTATTTAAAATGTGGTCCAAGTTGTATTGTGTTAGTTGTGACAGATAGCATTGTGTAAGGAGTCACTACCATAAAAAAAAACTTAACCTTTGGATTCTGATTGATAAATCAATACATTATTATTATTATTATTATTATTATTACTATTATTATTATTATTATTCAAATAATTGTATAAAAGGGGCCAAACTTACTGTATGGATTGTGATTGTTGAATGAATTATTATTATTATTAATATTGATATTATTATTATAATTAATATTGGTAGTAAGATAATAATTATATATTTCAGGTGCATGATCCCAGGTCTTCCCAATGACACCTATGCAATCCAGGGAGCCTGGCATGAACTCCTGATTAACGAGACCATCCCCCTGGGCTCCAAGGGCGACTACTCTGAGTGTTCTCTTTACTCCAACTTCTCCTACACTAACGCCACCTATAGCTGTGACAAATGGGTGTACGACAAGTCTGTGTTCACTGCAACCTTTGCCACTGATGTAAGTGACTGAAGAGGCTTTGTATTGCTGCTAGATGTTGTAGTGATAACAGGGAATGATGTTTTCGTATAGAAGGGATTTCATATATATAGGCCACTTGTAGAGGTTTGGAATGAGCAAAAAGATATGTGTAAAGAAAGATTAAAGATTAAAAATTTGACTGATGCTTTCAAATATCAGAGTGTCTCTTTCTAAACTCAGTGAATGCTTCCTTTAGAAAGTAAATTGTAGTTTAAGTATAAGTTTCAATATGACAACCTGCACATTTTTCAGTCAGTTTTCCATTCAGTTTGATTTTATTTGTAAAGAAATGACCAAGTTTCTTATCTTAAAAAAAATCACTGATTTGAGCATCATTGTTTCTCTCAGTTTGGTCTGGCTAACTGTGGAGAGAAGTGGAAGATTGCTACGGCCCAGATTGTCTTCATGGCAGGAGTGCTGGTGGGGGCCTTCGTCATGGGAGCTCTGTCAGATGCGTATGTATTTCACTGATGATAAGTTTCTGTAGATTATAAGACACCCAAAAGATCTAATCATTTAAAGGTTCTTACGTATTGAAACTGAAAAAAAACTGTATTGATTCGTTGAACACTGTTGTGTTATGACCATATTATGCCAGTTATTTTGCTAATTTGATCGCATCTTACTTATTTGGAAGTGATGGAATAATTGTTGAGACTGTATATATAAGTAGTTATATCTGTGTTACAAAATATATCCCTTACAGAAATTTCCTATAATGTCCTACAGGAAATTGGCCCAAAATCCTATCGAGTCCAATAAAACATGTTTCCTATAGCTAGGATTCCTTTATAGCCCTGTAGTAACTGGACTTTACAGAATGAAAACAAAGCCCCTTATGTACGAAATCATGCAAAATATACTGTGTGGATGTTTTATATTTTATCAATCTTTTCAATTCATTTCAGCATTGGCCGTAAGCCCACCTTGATTATCTCTGTGTTGCTACAAGGTGTTTGTGGCACAGCAGCAGCCTTTGCTCCAGAATACTACAGTTTTATTGTCCTCAGGTTCTTTGTGGGTTCAGCCACTGCCGGGCTGTTCATGACCACTTTTGTACTAGGTAAGGTATACAGAGAATGCACTGGCACACCTAACAAACTGTCACATCTAACACCCTGTCACATCTAACACACTCAAATAAAGCACATTCACTCCTAGTGCACTTTCATACTGTTATTGAGGGTTTTAGCTCAACCCATACCTTGGCAACAGTATTGAGAACTATTTGATTACCCTTTATATGTAATATAAGAAATCTGGTAAGGTCAAACCTACTTACATGATATTTAACCTAGACTGTTAAACATAGAAACAATGAAAACAGTTGCCCGTAGTAAGGCTAAGAGGCTAAGATTTGATCTCATTTTTAACCTTGGTTCTTAGGTATGGAGTTGGTTGGTCCTTCCAAGCGTATGATAGCAGGTATATCAATAGAATACTTCTTTGCGGGAGGTCTGATCATACTTACCATGGTTGGGTACTTCTTGCGTGACTGGAGGCACATAGAATTGGCAGTTTCTGTTCCGAGTTTTGCCTATATTCTTTACTGGTGGTAAGTAAGAGGAAAAATATTTGATTGCCATTTTGTTTTCTATTATTTTTATCATTGTAATGATAACTATTGTTGTATTGGAATGATATTTGGTAATGATTTTATTGATTGTGGTAATAGGTAAATAAAATCTCAGAAGAAATTTTATACACCCAACTTGATCAAAACCTTTTTTGGTGGAAATGTATATAATGGGGTAACTTTGAGAATGAGGTCACAAATGGCAATTTTTATAACAATCTGTGACCCTAAGGTCATTAATAGCTATTAATTTTTAAACTTAAGACCTTATAATATGAAGTCACAAAAAGGCTATTTAGATAACAACCTATGACTTCACTTTTCAGGTTCGTACCTGAATCAGCAAGATGGTTGCTGGCCAATGGGAAGGAAGATAAGGCAGAGGAAATATTACGTCAGGCAGCCAAGGTGAATGGCAAGGTCCTCCCAGAGAAGCTGTTTGAGCAGGTGGCCGAGGACGAGGAGGAGCATCATGGGAGCATTCTGCAGATCTTCAGGTCGCCAAGAACCCTGGTCAGGACACTCATCATCTTCCTTAACTGGTAAGGAGACACACTTTACAGTGTAATGAAGTTTACAGTGTAAATTCAGCCACCCACTGTCTCCAACACCTGCCCACCAATTCACCCACCAGCCCATTCACCATCTACCACCCACACACCCAACATCTCCATCACCCACCCTCTTACCCACTCACTCACCCAATCTGTCCACCACCACCATCTCTATCACCCACCCTCTTACCCACTCATTCACCCAATCTGTCCACCACCACCATCTCTATCACCCACCCTCTTACCCACTCATTCACCCAATCTGTCCACCACCACCATCTCTATCACCCACTAACCCACCCTCTTACCCACTCACTCACCCACTCTGTCCAACACCACCAACACCATCACCCTCCAATCTCCACCTTCTTACCCCACTCACCCACCTTTCCTACCCACCAACCACCCATCATCCACCCACCCACCCACCCACCCACCTGTCAGGAGACTTATCACCTTCCTTGATTTGTTTCCAAAGACACAACCACCAACACCATCACCCTCCAATCTCCACCTTCTTACCCCACTCACCCACCTTTCCTACCCACCAACCACCCATCATCCACCCACCCACCCACCCACCCACCTGTCAGGAGACTTATCACCTTCCTTGATTTGTTTCCAAAGACACAATTAAATTTTGAGAGATTTGCAACTGATACATGTGTGATCTTGTAGTAAATTTAAAGAGAACTTCCCTGATATCATTGAGAAAGAAATCATACTTAAGTCTTTCAAATCTTTAACAGTGTTTATCTTGATGATGCTCGTCTCTGCCTCAGATCTAACTTCTCTGCATTTTGGTCTCATTTTCAGGTGTGTGGTCAGCATGGTCTACTATGGCCTCAGTTTGAACAGTGGTAATCTTGGAGGAGATATCTTCCTCAATTTTTTCCTCTCAGGGCTGGTGGAGTTTCCCGCCTACTGCTTCTGTTTCTGTATAGACAAAGTGGGCCGCAAGGGACCTCACGTGTTTGGCATGCTCTTGGGTGGTAGTGCATGTCTTTGCACCATTTTCGTGGCTCTTTACGCTGATCCTGGTAAGTGTGTGACCATGGCATGCTGCAGTTCAAAAGTTATTGGGAAGTCAACTCTGTTATTAATTTGTTGAGATGAATTTCAGAGGGTTCTGGATTTGCTTAAAAATTTGGTGCTACTACATAAATGTGTTAGGTGTGATAATGGTTGTGAAAGTATTGTGTTTTCATAGTATCCTAACACCAAGTGGTACTACATAATGTATAAGATGTGAAAACATCTATCACAATAGTATGCCTTCACACCATCCTAACACCACGTAGTACTACATAAATGTATTAGGTGTGATAACGGTTGTGACAACATTGTGTTTTTTCAGGTGATCCTAACACCAGGTGGTTCTACATAGCTCTCAGTATCGTAGGGAAGCTGGGAGCCACCATGGGGTTTGCCATCATCTACGTGTGGTCTGCAGAACTCTATCCCACTGTGTTGAGGAACAGTCTGATGGGCTTCAGCTCCACGTTTGCCAGGGTTGGGGGCATGCTGGCACCTGTGATTGCTGTAAGTGATTGTGTTAGGTGTGACTTTTGAATTGTGTTAGGTGTGACTTTTCAATTGTGTTAGATGTGACTTTTGAATTGTTACCATTGAATTGTTTTGAAATATTGCACTGATTCATTCACTCTTCCACTTTGATATCCACTAACACATCCACTGACTTACCCATTTGCATACTCAATCACTTACCCACTTACTCAAAACTTCACTCATCCACTCTTTTATCCATTACACCTATGCATGCTCTCACACCCTCATTTAATGTTTTTGTGTTCATGAAGCAAAAAAAAAAAGGTAATAATTTACACCATTTTTCAACAGAACATGGTGACCTTCCCTGGTGCTATAGGCAGAAGTGCTGCTCTGATAGTGTTTGGTGCAGCCACAGTATTTGTAGCCTTGCTGTCTATCCTACTGCCTGAGACTGCAGGGAGAGAACTGCCAGAAACTATTGATGATGCTGAGAAAGTGCCTTTGTAAGTATTACAATAGCGGTGACTTCTTTATTTAATCAATTCATTTATTCATTTATTTATTTATTTATATGTATATTTGTTGGTTTACTGCCACTGTTACATATGTTTAAATGAAAAAGTAAATAAATGATTAAGGCTGGAAATTCATCAGTAAATATCCTCCAGTAGATATCTGTCCCAGACTCAGCAACCACCATCCTCCACCCCCTTTCCCTCAGACTTTAGTTGACAACCCTGGTGTAAAACTGTTCTTATGTGAGGAATAATTCCTCAAGAAGTAACTTTTCCATACCAGTGCCATTCTTTATTTTAGCATATTCCATTCCATTCAGTTTTCTTTTTACACTTAACCGATCTTTGTTTTAGCTTCTCCAGTGCCCCCAAGGCAGGCGAGGACACAGAGAAGAGTCTACCAGTGGAGCCGAAATACACCAAGAAGGACTTCGCCTACAACAATCCTGTCATGGAGGATAAAGTTTAAAATTGCTTCATCACATCAAGCAATTCTGTGGTGAACTCTGCATCATTTACATTCTTTACTTTCTTATTTTGAAAATTTAGGATTTGTTATGGGTTTGGGCATGTAGGTTTTTATTTATTTCTGCAAAAAGCATTTTGTGTTTCTTAAATTTTATTTTTGTTAGATTAGAATGGTGTTAAGTGACTAAATATTATTGATAAAATGATCTACTATTAACAAGTGATTGCTCAGTTACATTTCATGCATTTCATAACTTTAAAAGGGAAATTTTGAGTCGCAATAAAAGTTGATAGACTGATATTTTTGATAATGTGACAAGTGAGACTTCCCAAGGAAGTATACTTTACAATAAAGTTGTCATCACTATTTTCTTTTTTTTTTCTATTTTATAACAGAAAATATTATGTCCTATGTAAAAAAATATTATTTTCATTTCTGATCATCATCAAGCATTGTGTCAGGACAAGAGTAGATATTACATGGAGAAAGGTGATGGGTAATGTGTTGAAAGATATTAAAGAGACCAGACCATCAGTTTAAGACCTTTTTTGCACAATATAAATCAGGGTAACTGTATTAGTATCATCAGAGATTTTTTGTGAAATTTGTAAATATAATATGTCAGATGTTTTAAGTGTTAAGTTGCATGAACCACTTCTGCAAGAATTTAATGATTTGATATTTCTTTTTTCTTTATTATTTTTATTATTAATATTATTATTATTATTATTATATTTATTTTGGCAATCAAATTTTAAAGCACCATAACAATTGAAAAATGGTGCTACAAAAATACCTCATTCAGTCACCGTAAACTTCTCCTGAAGTTTTCTGAGACTGTTTTGTACTTGTTGATTCTTTTCAAGGATTTTGGCCGTCACACCTTAAAATTGTCCTGTCAATTAGCCTATAGAATGTGATATAGTATTTTGTATGATATATATATATATATATATATATATATATATATATATATATATATATATATATATATATATAANACAGAGGAGGGCATCTGGTGAAAATCTTTGGTCCTGGTAGAGGGTTATGGTAAGTTATGTCTCGCACTACAGTTAACAAATAGTACATTTCATACTGTAAGTGTTATGCTTTGTTCTAGTCTTGAGGCAAACGTTTTCAAGCAATCTGTGACAATTCTACTTCCAAAACATACGACAGTCACGTCTCAATGACTGTTGATATATATTTATACAATGTAGCTTTGTGACATCGATTTCAATCTTTTGTGCCTTCTCCACTCTCTGGCTCTCGCTCTCTCTTTCTATCTCTCTAACACACGCCCACACACACGTCCCCGATAAACTGGTAAGGTCACCTGTATCAGTTGCCTATCTGATATCGATCGTGCTTACAGGAGAATCCCCTATATTCGCTGTGACTACTGTTGAACACTGGACCCCGTAACGTATTGCGAATAGCGATATCTGACACGCAGAGAGGCTACAATGTATTATATGGGACTGGTATGGGCGAGTTATGGAATCGAGACGCTTGCGCTCGGTCTCAATGCGCGATAACAGTTACAAGCCAGCGCTTGTAAATAACTCATACGTGGTTTACCCAACGAGAAACCGTTTTATGTTGATTTCCCTGCCGGCATGAACAACTGTTTTCTCTGTAAGTACAGGACTGGGTGTGAAAAAAAGGCCCCACTCTGACCCCGTTAATCTTTAATTTCGTTGGCGAACGCCGGAGATGGAAATTTACGACAATTTTGTATACATATAATTTACCCAAAATACCTTTCTAAACAAGGTAAATTTGATTTTTTTTAATCCTTTACGGTGTCACTAACGGTGTTCATGATACGTGCTCTAAGAAATCGTTGATAAACAAACAATACTTTAGATGCTTTTGGTTTCAGCTATTAAACTTACTAACACATCCGTCCACAGATGTTTATGTTACGTGTGACAACGATCCGCTGAATTTTAGCCTTTTGCCCCTCTCCATCTCAAGCACATCCGTGCACAATCTCAAACACACACGCCCCACTGCACACACACACACACACACACACACACACACACACACACGTACATGCACCAGTAAGTAAACAAACACATGTAGAAGCAGATAAATACAAACATGCTTATACACAGATACAGGACTACACACGCACAGGCAAGGGCATCTACATCCCAATCACACGCAGGAACGAACGATGATAGTAACCATCGACAGACACACGAAAACGACTGGGTAATATTTCAAGAAATGTGATCGATTTTTTAAAGTAAGATATTTCTTTAGTAGATATATCACGTAATATTCCTTTGTAAAGGAAAAAGTAATAAACATGGAATTAAAAGTTAAACATACGACTTTCCATGGCGCACGCTGTCTGCCTGTCTGTCATGTTATTACACTGCTGACACAAATTTAATTCCCGGCCGAGTGAATGTTACCTCAACGTGGCGATTAAAACTGATACTATACTGCTACCTGTCTTGTACTTGTGCTTTTATAGCACCTGCTTGGACTAGACGTTGACCCCACTATTGTTAGCTGCATCTTCAATGCAGTTAACAAATAGCAAATTTTATTTCTTATAACTCATTAACCATTGCATAAACCCAGGAGTGAAAGTCGGGTAGGTTTTTGCTGTGTTATATAGGTTATTTGGCCAGTGGCGGATTTAAAGGGGGGTTCAGGGGGGTACACCCCCCCCCCCCCTTCGATTTCTGGTCCCCTTTTGAAATGAGAATTTTGACTGGCAGAATCATAGTTTTTAACCGTACCTAATGGTACCGTTCACCATCTAAAATACCAAATTTTTTCGGGACCTTCAACGGGGCCCAAACCCTACTACAAGTGGGTATTGTGTGTGTGTGTGTGTGTGTATTTGTGCTGACATACTTCAATTTCATTACAGTTGATATTTAGTGTATTTTAACAGTGAGCCAACACCACAATCAGACGGACTTACTGACAGACAGACAGACAAGTACACACACACAGTCAGTGAAACAGAAAATGAAAAAAATGAAAGGGGGAGAGATAGGGGAAAGTGTGCACATTCTTTGAAAATTGAAAAAGGACAATAATTTAACACTTACCGTCATCTGTCTGTGTGCCGACATCCATGGTTGCTATCAGTCTGTCATTCAATCTTGTGGGGCCTGTAGGTATAATACAACGGTATGAAAAAGTTTGTATTTTTTGTGATGAAAGACTGCTGACGACAAAAGAAAGTGTGAGAGCTGTTTTTTTTTTTTTTTTTTTTTTTTTTTTTTTTTTTTTCTATCTTGATAGGTAAACACTGGATAATGAATAAATTTATACGGGTTAACAGAAAAATATCAACACATCCATCAGAATCTATATGTTAACACATATCTACCTCCAGTCCTGGTCATATCTGTACCTACATCTCGGATTCCTGACCGTCTGGTGTTCCCTGGAAAAAAAATATTCACAAAGTGGAGTATCTTACTCCGTCTGATATAATGCAATCAGTTTGTTCAGTTCTGGTAGTATGTGTGTGTGTGTGTGTGTGCTCCCCTTGTACGGAATTCGCAATGAGTTCACAAGTGGGACGTGCGATTTTTTAGGCACGGGGGTGAGGGGGATAACAAAGCAAACGGCTGTTACCTGCCTCATTGTCTTAGAACCTCTCTCTCTCTCTCTCCTGTCTATATCTATTAATTTTTTTTTTTCGCGTCAAACGCGGGAGCGAATGCTCGTTTTAACGATCGACAGACACACGACAACAGTTTGGTTATATTTTTTTATAAACCGTGACCGCAGTTAACACAAAAAATTTCTTCATCATGAGAAATTTGTGAACATGGAATGTACAGTAATACATACCAGTTGCCTGGGCACCTGCTGTCTGACTGTCTACCATGTTACTACACTGCTGTCGCAAAATCCGGCTGAGTTAATGTTAAAATCGTCGCGCTTGTCTATTTTAGCGCTCGTACTGATGTTCCACTCTAGCTCGACTCCATCGATATATACCGGTTAACAGAAGAAATTACCCATTATCAGGGCCACAGTTCGTATTTTATTTGTTTTTTTTTTTTCGCTGAGTCGCATTAGAGATAACGCAATACAGAGGAGGGCATCTGGTGAAATTCTTTGGCCCTGGTAGAGGGTTATAGTAAGTTATGCATCTCACTACAGTAAACAAATAGCACATTTCATTCTGTTAGTGTTATGCTGTGTTCTAGTCTTGAGACATACGTTTTCAAGCAATCTGTGACAATTCCAGTTCCAAAACGTCCCCGATAAACTGGCAAGGTTAGACTCTACTCTGCTGACAGTGTAATAACATGTGGTGAGGTGTTTACAGTGTACGAATACGTCATATTCAATGCCGACAGTATATAGCGTTCTATTATGGAGTTCTAGGGTTCGGTGTTGAGCAAGATGGCTTAATTATTAAAATGGAAAAACGCCCGAAGAAAGGTGCTATCTTCTTACAAATGTTACTAAACATGACAAATAAGCTACCACCCCATCCCACCCACCCCCAAAAATTTCATTTCATGTAAAATATTTATAAATTAATGAACATAAATTAAAGCAAACAAAAATGCCTAAAAATGGCACTTTGGTTACTGACAGCTTTTGTTGCTTAGGTCAATAGTATGACCGAAATTTTACCAACAGTTTGGTATACGTCAAAAAACAATAATGCATGAATCACTTTCCAATAGCAGCTATAATTCAGAATACTTTAGATATTGTTAGATGATAATTAAGAATAATAAATTACATTAACTTCCTGTTATAATTGCAATATGCCGTGTTAAGTGGTAAGACAGACAAGCAGACAAACAGTCAGTGAAACTGAAACTGAAAATAAAAAAATTAAAGGAGGAGAGATTAGGACAGTGTGCACATTTTTTTTAATTGAAAAGGGACAAAAATTTAACACTTACCGTCATCTGTCTGTGTGCCGACATCCATGGTTGCTATCAGTCTGTCATTCAATCTTGTGGGGCCTGTAGGTATAATACAACGGTGTGAAAAAGTTTGTATTTTTTGTGATGAAAGACTGCCGACGACAAAAGATAATGTGAGAGCTAGTGTTTTAATCTTGATAGGCAAACACTGGACAATGAATGAATGTATACGGTTTAAAATAAAAATATATGACCACTGCCCCATATCTACCTCCAGTCCTCGTCATATCCGATGATAATTAAGAATAATAAATTACATTAACTTCCTGTTATAATTGCAAAATGCCGTGTTAAGTGGTAAAACAGACAAGCAGACAAACAGTCAGTGAAACTGAAACTGAAAATAAAAAAATTAAAGGAGGAGAGATTGGGACAGTGTGCACATTCTTTTTAATTGAAAAGGGACAAAAATTTAACACTTACCGTCATCTGTCTGTGTGCCGACATCCATGGTTGCTAGTAGTCTTCCATTCAATCTTGTGGGTCCTGT